CTCATCCCGTACATTCTAAATTTCAGTTGCTACCATCAAGGAGATGTTTTAGACAACCTCGGGTAAATAGAAATGTGTATCAGATATCATTTGTGCTGACTGCCATTTGAATTTTAAATGTTGAGAAGATATGAATATGAGTAGGGGTGGAGCTATGCATAGATTATATATGTATGGGAATGTTATTGTTTAATTCTTTTATTTTTATTTTTGTATATTGTTATGTTGTGTTGGTGTCCTTGTGTGTGGTGTATATTGAAGCCAAAGAAACATTTCCACTAGGATGTTCCTTAACTTTGTATAGATTTCCATTTAATGCTGTATGTCCGATTCTGTTATTGTATCGATTATCTGTAACAATTATTACTGAATCTTTTCATCTGTTTAACCCAGTTTCATTTTTTCCAGATTTCTTCCCTTTAAATACTATATTAATGTCTATCCAACTTCTCTTTATCACAATTTTTTTGCCGTAATCTTATTAAAGATTTAATAATTGATTTTGCTTCTGTTTTGCTGTTGCTTATGTCAAATTCTATATACTTCAACTCCAACATAGCGTATTATATAATAACCTAAATAATAATAAATAATAAATTCCTTGATTGTGAATTCTATATAGCCCTATGTATTGCATTATTTCCTGGATAACATCTTGTCTGCAACTAGATTGGCCAGAATTAATGCTTTTTAATTTTGCCAATGAATCTGAGTATAGTATTTTAATGCTTTCTTTGCACGTTGTTATTCTACCATAACTACCAGTAATATATTATACTATCTGCAGTAATTATCTGGCGGAGTTCTTTAAAAAAATATATTATTTCATGTTGTGGATAACTACTGCTATTTTGTTAAATTCTGGATCCTTTGAATCATCCATAAAAAGGCCTAACTGTATAGCCTATCATATCACCATAAACTTATCAATATATTGATTAACACATATATTTTATCACAACTCAGTATCTTTACTTCTTCTATTAATTGAGGGTCTATTAGGCATTATAAACAGCCAAGGTAGAATTGCTAACAACTGAACTGTATTACTTTTGTGATACCAGGTATAGTCTAGCTAGCAGCGTTGTTACTTTTAGTAGTTTCTCCTCTAAACTGATAAAAAAACTAAAGAAAAGATAAACAACCATTGAAGATAGCTATTCTTAATATGACTTGTAGGGCTCTATCTTGCACCCGGCGCAAATGACTTTGTACACTGACGCATGTATCATTCCTATTTTGCACCCGCGCAAAGCGGGCTTTTCCCTCCACAGACACACGTCGGTAAACTAATGAACTTGCGCTCCCCGGGCGGGTCGGCGCAAAAAGGAGGCGTGTTCCAGCGCAAACAATCCCTGGTGCTATTTTGCAGTTCCAGAAAACAACTGTGCCACTGACCAGAAAAAACCTAGTCTAAAGTCAGTGGCGCGTTGCGCGTACATTCAGATGCTATTTTAAGCGCGCATGCTTGGCCATAATACAGAGTATGAACAACGCGCACACACTGTAGATGATTCTCTCATCTACACAGATGCATTTTACTTTTTGCAAATGATATATTATTATAAGGAAAAAATATTAAAACACGAGGGAAATCATTGTTGTGTCCATGACGATGGGAAAATAGGCATAAAGCTTACACATTTACCCCGATTATTATATGCATGTTTAACCGAAGCTAATTTGGGTGGGTTTGTCCCGTCCCCAATGTCACTTCTCTTTCTTTTACGGCCCTGACGAGAACATCAATCTCCTCGGCTGTGAACCGATTCTGAAGCGCGCCTGGTAAGTGCGCCGTTATAATAGTTTTGCGCCATGGAACAAGCACACCTCGTTCATCATGCTCTTAAAGGGAATGTGATATGACGCTCTGATTGATTTGTTTCCCGTTACGCCCAAACCACACCTATGAATAATGAAGCTACTTCAGACCAACCCCTTTTAGATTTGCGCCAGGCGCAAGAGTCATTTATCCCACCGGGAAAATACTGTAGCAACAGCGCCGGGATCCGCCCACAAAGTTACTTGCGCTTTGCGCTTTGACACTTGCGTTTCAGATCGTTAAAATAGGGCCCATAGGCATTTGTGGACAGAAACAGGATGATATATTTTTTTTTAAAGGTACAGGATGTGAGGCCTCAGAGTGAGGTGATGCTTCTTAGAAATGACACAAACGCTTTAGATTACAGCCCGGAAAGTATTGCGTAATTAAGGCAAATTTACAGCATAACTTTCTGTAATTATAGTGTATAAAGTAGGCTACTTGCATGTAAGTGTAAGGGAACAATATGTAAAGTTTGGGGAATAAAGGGGTAACAACCAGGAGAATTAAACAAATATTTATACTTTGGGCCTAAGTATTATAGAACTAAGGGGTACTTATTCTACTATTATGATACAACAATCACATTTGGAACAATTTAGTGAGAACATACTGCGTACCTTTTTGTAATAATTGTGTACCAATACATACTGTATAGGCTTTTAAAAAATTACAGGGTACATATCTATGCATTTATATAGTGTTTTTTTTTATAGCAAAAGTGCAGATGTTAAAGTTTGGGCTTTCATCTTTCAAGTCAAGTAAAGCTAAAACTATTGCATTTTTTTTAAATACTGGGAAATATCTTGTTCCATGTGGTTACAGGTGCTAGTTTAAAAAATAAAGGTTTCTGAGTCAGTTATATAAGATTGTGCATATGTATTTTGCATAGACACTTTTTTTTGCATAGACATAAAAATCACTATCCAAATTTAAATGGTTGTAATTCAGGAATGCTTTGGAATATAGACCTATGGCTGGTCTTGTTTTAAAGAAGACATTTTCCAGATTATTGTAGAAGTCTAGAAATGATAAAAAATGAAACAGAAAAAAAGTTATATAAGTTTGAGTTTATGAAATTGTGTAATGTAAAAATATGATTATTAATATTTTATATAAAATATATATATTACAAAATATATTTTACTCTAAAACTGCAAGAAAATCAAAGACAAAATTCTGAACAAGTTGTATTCCAAATTTTAGGTTGATATCTAAAAAAATGAGCTTTCAGTAAGATTTTTTTTTGGCGCAGTACCCAACTTTTTCACTAGACTCCATTACTGCCCATATAAGGGCGCCTCCATTTTCATATATGTTTTGAGTGATCTGAACCATGTATTTCCAGAATTTTCATACAATTTATGAAGTAGACATCCTATTCAGAAGTAGTATGGGTGGTTTGGCAGTATTTGATTTGAATTCAACCTCTAACAAATGCATAAAAAGACTATGTTATAGCGTTATAGCTCGCAGCCAATCAGAAATCGAGAATCCATACATTTTTCTTTATATTTAAAACATTTTCAGACCTTTTTTTCTCATAAAATGGAATTGGTGTTATCTTTTGAACTCATGGCATGAAAACAAACTGAGGTTTCTACCAATCTTTCATGATTTTTCGTGTTTATTGTTATTTCAAAATAAAGGCCTAAATACGCCTGATGAATATGAAATATTCTTGTTGCAAATTTATAAATTACTGCTCCTCTGTAATTTATTTTAGATAACAGCCACCAAATTTTACTAAGATATTATTGTTTAAACATGCAATGGCAAATGGGCCCGCCGGCGGGTTAAGAGTAACATGGAACAAAAGGTACAAGCACCACTACATGAAACAAGAGTATCTTTCCCCAATATTTAAGCAAAAGTTGCAATAGTTTTCGTTTTCAGTGCACTTTTGCTAAAAATATTACTGTATAAATGCATAGATATGTACCCTGTAATTTTTAAAAAGCCGTGTATTGGTTCAGCATTATTACAAAAAGGTATGCAGTGTATGTTCTCGCTAAATTGCTCCCAAATGTAAGATTGTTGTATCATAATAGTAGAATAAGTACCCCTTAGTTCTTTAATACTTACAATTTTTTTTTTTTTTATTCTCCTAGTTGCTACCCTTTTATTCCCCAAACTTAAAATACTTAAAATATTGTTCCCTTATAATTACATGTAGGTACTTGATGTATTCACAGACACATAGTATCCCTACAAGCGTTTTGAGAAATCACTGGAGGTACATTAATGTGGGTACATATATGAAATTTTCATATTTCATATTGACACAGTACAATCTCACAGTATAGGCTATATGTATATCACTGTTTTTGTGTAGAGCAGAAGTCAAACTGTGAGCTTCAGATGGGGATGGAAAAACACTCTTAAACCACACTGACACAGACACGAAACTGACACCTCAAACACATGGATGTAATAAACAAGACTACAGAAGGTTTCACTTTGACTTACAAACTGGCTCTCAGTGCATGCATTTGGTCAGGGCTAAATATATGGGCCGTGTCTTAGTCTGACGAAGGCATCCCAAAGCCTCAAGCTTTGTTTGTTAGGAGATGTTTTTATTAATTATCTCAGAATATTTACATTTAAAGAGAAATGAGCCAAGATCCTGTCTGTGTGGAAACAGGTTTGTTAAGCTTAGGGTTAAAAAAACAACAACAGCATCAACAAAAACGAGTGCAGGTCCTGCATGTAAGAGTAATGTAACAAGTGATTATGATGAAGGCTTTTAATAATCCATTTTCACCCTCATGAAAGACACATGCCTTTGGTGTGAGAGACCCGGGTTCGAATCCACTGTGAGACACCAATGTGTCCCTGAGCAAGACACTTAACCCCTAGTTGCTCCAGAGGCGTGCGACCTCTGACATATATAGCAATTGTAAGTCGCTTTGGATAAAAGCGTCAGCTAAATGAATAAATGTAAATGTATTACCATCATCGGAAAAGTCAGCCATTCTTCTAACCCAACCACTACTAGATGTCTGCAGCCCTGTGCTGTCTTTGGAGATGTCAAGCCATGGGTCATGCAACCACTAGCAGCGCCTGTCCCAGAGGATCCTGCGGCTCTGCCTCTGGCCTCGAATCCCTTCGCTCCGCCTCGGCCTGTCGACCTGTTAGCTACATCTTCACTCCTCGTACCTTTGGCTCAACCAAGGACCCTTGTCCCACTGGCCGCTGCTCTCCATCCCTCCACCCCTTCGGCTGCAGCAGGTTCCTCCTTCACGTCGGCATCACCTCTGTTCTCAGTAACACTGTCATCGCCTGGGTCTCCAGCACCAGCGATGTTTGTCTGCACCATCGGATCCACCGGCTGTCTCCGCCGGCCGTCGACAGCCAAGCCAGCAACATCTTGGCTCCTCCGTCCCTCGTCTCCACCCTGGGTTATTGACACTGGAGAGCTCTGGGTCTGTGCCATCAGGAACTCTCCATCGTTTCTGCTGGGGTCGCCTCGTCCTGCTGTCACCAGCCCTTCACCATCTCCTCGTCCTCCTCCAAAGCCTCCCATCACAAAGTGATGTCACCAGATGTGTTGTGTTAATGTGTCTGCCCGATTTTTGGATTACTTGTTATTAAACTACATTTGGAACTCTATTCATCTGTCTTCGTCTTCCTGCTTGCAAAACACGTCTGTGACAACCCACAATACCTCTCTGTCATTCCGGCCCCAATGTAAGATCACACAGCAGTCCGATCATCTTCTAATGGCAACAGATGCATACTCCACATTAGCTTCCTCTTTAACGTTCTGTAAAAAAAGGATAATATAAAATATTTTTAAAAAATGAAGTTTGATTGAGGTTAGATGTGAGTTTAAATATGACACTTTTCTAACAATGTCACCTATGTGGTTAAGCTAACAAGAACACTCTCACAGACTTTTTTTTTTTTTGCAATTTGATGCAAAGGTATATAATACAAAGTATAGTGTTATAAATGTACAAAAAAAAATTAATAAAAAAAAATCTTTACTGGATTTACGTTACGTTACGCCATTACAGTCTGTGAAAAGGGTCCAATATGAATACATGATCTTACCGATTTATGTGGTTTTCTTCTGCAGAATGTTGGCTCGGCATAAGTGATCTCATCTTTAAGAGCCTGGACTGTTACTACAACAATAATACATGAATTAAACAACAAAACTAATCATAACTATATCTGTTTCTTCAAATAATATATTAGGCCTGTTAAAATGTTACTGCACAAAATTAAATATATTTAATGCTGTGATTTTTAAAATGCAATTAATACATTTCATTTCACATTTATTTGTAAAACATACACACATTTCTAAAGCTATCATATGACAATGTTTTTATCAATAAAATACATTCTTTGCAGATAATTTATAATTAAACCTAGATGAAATGTCTAAATGAACGCAGTTTTTTTCCAAAACTTGTCCAAATGTTGTCCTACTCCTAACTTTCCAAATTAAGTTATCCAAACAAACTATTTTACATAAACAATGTTGTGCCAGTTCCCAGCATGCATTGCAGCTTGAAATATTATGCGGTAACTATTATTCTTAAAAAAAAAACAAAAAAAAAAATCATAGTTGAAGCGAATTAGTTGAGTTAACTTAAATAGTTGAGTGTGATAGGTTGACTTGTTTTTTATAGTTGCCTTGGCAAGAATTTCAAGAAATCCAAAAGACTACCTCATTAGCTGAACAAAAGTATGTAAGTTGACTTTTATTGGAGCGAATAAGTTGAGTTAACTTAAAAAGTTGATCCCCTGGTTTCACAGACAAGGCTTAATCTAGTCCCAGGCTAAAATGCATGTTTGAGCTGTTTTAGCAACTTGCATTGACAATATCTTAAAATATGTCAGTACCATTGTTTTGTCTCAAAATGAACACCAGTAAGGTTTTATTTATTTTGAGGCAACCTGGATTAGTCTAGGGCCTGTTTGTGAAACCAGGCCTGAATGTGTAGGTTGCCTTATTTGCCTTATTTGTTATTTTTTTACTGTGTGGTGAAATGTTGAAATGTATTTTTCATTGAAGTCAGTGAAAGATCGCCAACTCATTCATAGAATGAAAAGCATCATTCATAGAAATAATCTTTACACCAGCAAAGCACTGCAGGAATATGTTCAAGTGTGGTGAAAAATAATACATATAAATATTGTTTGTTATACTTGTTTAAAATAAATGGGTATCACTTGCCTTCTTGGTTTGTTTTTCTTTGTTTCCAGTAGATGCAGAAGATCCCGACTGCAAAAACAATAAACAGAGATCCAGCAGCAGCAGCAGAGATCAACACTATGTACAATAAAATATCTTGATCTGTAATGGACAAAATGAGCCATTAGTGTGAGTGAATCTGTCCCTTGGATCTACAACAACATATCAAACATCAGCACTGAATGACTTGATAGATCAACTCAGTTAATCAACTTTAATATCAACAGCAGCATACCTGCACATGTGTGGCAGAGTGTGTTGATGTCCAGATGTGTGGTCTGGTTGCTGATGGGATTGTTCAGCACACAGCTGTAGGTGTTTTTATCCTGATATTCCACCTCCAGAGGTAGAGAGAGACTGATGCTGAGATCACACACACTGATGCTGGACAATACACTCATTCCTGCGTACCAGGAGAGAGTCGCATCACTCACATTCACCACTGATGAACACACCAGTGAACAATTTGACGATGATGATGAAGAAGAAGAAGAACACTGTGAAGAGTTACTGATGATGACAGGAACAGGCAGACGAGCTGGAAAACATTAGATAATAAACACAAATTTGGATAATGGGCACAAGTACAACAGGGCTAAATGTGCATTGAGGTAAAAGGCGCATTTGGCACAAAAATTCAGTATAGCAGTTTTCTTAACAACTGCTTCTAATCCTTGATGTGATATCCGACAGCAACGCAAAGTTGATTTTATTTTCTGCTATCATAGAATATGGGAATAGTGAAAATACATTTTTCTTATAGGGGCCCTTTAACCCTGTTGTACCCTATCGGTCATCTCAAACATAAAATGTTTAACCATTTTGTAATATAAATTAGTTAATTACATTAGTAAATTACATCTCTACTCACCATAGACAGAAACACTGAATGTTTTTGATATCAGTTTCGCTCCAGTTATCTCTAGTTTATAAACCCCAGTATGTTCAGTTGTGGTGTGTGTGATGGTCAGAGATCCAGTTTGATCGTCCAGCTTCAGTCTGTCTCTGAATCTCCCATCAGGAACATCATCATATGTGGAGGAGATTCGGTTCTCTTTGCTGATTTCAGCTATCAGAGAGTTTTCAGCTCCATATTTCCACTGAATATCGTCGTCTTCTTTTATATCACTGACAATAGTATTTAGAATAACAGAATCTCCCTCCATCACTGACACTGATTCACCAAACACACCTGGAGAACATGAACAGGTTTTGTCACAGTTTAAGAATCTTGTTGGCTTACAAAGCATGAAATTAGCTTAAGTCTGTACATTTTTAATGTGCACTGAAGAACATTCAGAACAGCAGCAGAGACATGGACATATACTGCGTGAACAGACATATGTGAGTGAGAAAATACTTTAATCTTTACTGTCTTAAATGTATATGCTGTAGAGCAAAATAAATGTGTGGAGTTACATAACTTGTTAATTAAACCTTGAGAGTACAAATTTAATTCCGCTGGATATTTTCTATAACGTGATTTTTTTCATATGGGATATTTCGATTTGTAGATAAAACAAGCTTCATAAAGTTGTATGTATAAAATGCTTATATAACTTACCAATCAGACTCCACCAGCACAACCAGAACAAAAAAAACATTCTCCAAATGAAATGAAAAGTTAGCACTCGCGCTGTTCATGTGGTGTGTGAATCCTCCCCCTGACAGAGTTTGACCCTCCTATGGCACATGTGCACAAGCGTATTTGAGGCATAGTTATATATTTATAGTATATATAATAAATAGATTCTTGTTTGGCCCTTATTAAGACTTTAACTGTTCTTAGTAATGGAAAACATTCTTCAGTTTTATCATCTACAAACAATAGTGTTTGAACTGTTGTTGTTTTAAATATGTGAAAGAAAAATGGAATTTATTAATCTTCCTAAGTGTCATTATAAAATAAGACATTTTAAAATGCTTGTAACTTTCAACTGTTATGTATAAATCAACAAAACTTTTTTTTTTAAGAAAAAAAAAATGCAGAAAACTTACACTACCAGTCTTACTGAGGTGCGACACTAGCAGTTCACCTGAGTGAGTCAAACTGAAACCTGCTGTGGTCGGTTTTCTTCAGAAACATGGTTGGATGGACAAACATCATCTCGTATGTGAGAGTGGTAATTTGTTCCATGTGTGTTTAGTTTGTAGGTGAAGGGTTTCTTCCTGTCATGCTATTATTAAAATACACAGGCTGAGATCATTAAACAACAACAAATATAACTTTAAATGTATGGTGATCGCAGAATTAAACATAAATATGCGTAAATCGTAAAACTAAAGACACATGAGAAAGAAAAAAAAAGTAAAAAAAAAGAGAATAATTATATTTTGCTACAATTATTTTTTTGCTTTCTCTGACATTTTATGATTGCACTTTTTTGTTTTCTCCCTATCACGCATTGTTTTTCTTTGTTCTTCTTGTTTCATGCAGAGCAGGGCTGGTTTAACAGTAATTGGGCCCCTTTTTTAGATTGGAGTGACGTCACTACTACACGAATTTGGCTTTCTGCTCAGTGATCACAAAGTCACTTTGAGGCAAGCCTCCAAGGTAAAAAAAAAAGTGTCACACTGCATTATGTAGGGAAGGAGAGGAGAGGCTGTTTTATGTAATGGATGTCAATAGAGGAGAGGCTTCACTATGCTAAATAAACCACTTTTGTGGAAAACCAGCTGATCATTTAATAAATCAACATTCTATAGGCTAATCTTTAATGTTTGCCATCAAACAGTAGTTTTGAATTTATCTATTTTTAGAGTTTACACTGGGGAAAAAATTCAGTTTTATAAGAGAAGTCATGGACAATTGTTCAGTTTCCGGCACTTCTCATTCATTTCATCCAAAAACAAATAATTCCCTATTATATAGTATGGGAAAAACAGTATGCAACAACAGAGTAGTATGTCAAATGCATAAGCTGTGTCCCAATTCAGAGGTTGCATTAAGGTCACAAAGGTCAAACCAAGCGTTGATAAATGGGACGGTAGCTGTTAGGAAGGGTTAGTTGCTACTCAATCGGGTGGTAATATGTTGCATTCGCTACAGGATGTCAGTCACGACTCAGGAAGACAGAATCAGGTTGATATGGGTTTACTTCAATAGTTGGAATATAGAAACAGCAAACAGCACGGTATGGCATAAAAGGTTTTCTTCCTTTGGTTGCAATATAAACAATTTGCAATTTTGTAGTTTTCTGTGTATGTGTGTGTAGTTATATCGTCATTGAGGCACACCAACTAAAACCACTCAGGAATAATTAGAACAGGGTAAATTCTCAATACTCAAGCACTAACAGTCCACACCTGACCGAAGTTTCTATCCCATTCCTCATAAAATAGTCTGAGTTACGGCTGATGCAATACTTGCAATGAACTTGAGTAAGGGCAGGCCGCCACCTACTGGACGTAATAAGTAATGTTCCCACATTAACTATACATGTTCGACTCATAGCGGGCCTTTTGTAGGCTACAGAGGATTGTTCTTATCGCCTAGCAACTGTGACAGCTGCCGTTGATGAGTGACAGATGACTTTATTAAAAGTTATATTAAACTGTCTGAAAACAAAACAGGGTTCACAAACTGTCTAAATATGTTCACCGTGGTCCATTTCTGTATAAAGAGTATAAACTATAAATAATTGCAAAATATGTTAACTGCTTTAAAGTTTTTTTTTCATTTGTTTTTTTTTTCATTTGTATCATTAGATATTAAAGTAAGTTCAAACCCAATACTTACATTTAAAAGTGTAATTTGGCAATTTCTCCAAAAAAAAAAAAAAAACTGCCGTCACTGGTGCGCAATGAATTCTGGGGTAGACAAGGCCACGAAGGATCCATCTGTTGTATTCTTTATTTTACGGGAAAAGTAGGATGCAATTGGATGAGTCTTCGAATTGGGACAGCCTTCGTTGCGCTGCGGTGACACAACCGGCCTTCAAATGCAGCCTCTGGGACACAGTGATAGTATTTGAAAAACAGTAGGCGAAAAGTACTTGGATGACCTAAAACTTCCAGCGAGATTCTGATGTGTTCGACACTTTACTATCCCATGAGGCCACGGGAGTGAATGGAGGCGACGCAACTGACACTGGTAGGTCACATGATAATGACAACATGGTGGATGTAGTACATCCAAACTTAGCATATTCATACTATGCAGAATGTACTTTGTACAGTCACAAAGTAAGTTCAAATTCAAATGGGATTGTGGACAGAGCAAATACTCTGCTTTTTAAAAAAAATAGCCTATATGTATTTAATTTGTATCACACATAATGATCAGTAAAATCATGACTCAATGTTAGTTCACTTAGGCTATCACTGTAAAAAAAAAAACGTTAAATTTACAGGAAAACCCTGGCAGCTGTGGTTACCAGAGTTTTCCTGTTAAAAATACGGTAGCAACGTTTTAGGTTTTACAACTTTTAACCGTATATAATTTTACAGCAATAAACCGTGTTTCATTATCTGATATAATGTTAATATACTGACCTTTTGAAGTATTAATATCTGTTTTTTTTTCCCATTGTAATACAATGACAGCCAACAATCACAGCAGTGATGAGAGTCATATGGTCAACCAAAGCTCATCATAAGCAGCTCTTCCACAAGAAAGTTAATACTAACATACAGAAGCTGCACAGTGTCATTCACACAAACATTAAACACCATCATGGTAACTTGTTGAAATTTAAAAAATGCAATAAGCATTAATTTAACAACATTAAATGTAACATAAAACCCTATTGTACATAACTGATTAGAAAAAAACTAAGACAATTATGAAGAAACAGTTATTTAAAAACAAAATACATCAAATGTGAAGTATCACGCAGGGAATTGTGGGAATGTCAATTTACATTTTTTCACTGTAAATTATACAATGACTTGTTCTTTTTCACTTCCAAAAACTGTAAATTTAACGGTATTTTACAGTAAAATTAAATTAAATGTACCATTATATATATCACAGTTATTTACCGTATATAGTAAGAAAACTTTCTGTTAACCAATTAACAGTTTTTCACTGTAGCATTTTTACAGCGTCTTACCGTTAAAATCACGATCATTTTTTTACAGTGATAGCAAACGAAAATAATTTAGGTGCAAACAAACACACATTTGAGCTGTTATGAGAGAATCTGATCTGTTTCAGTAGTCAGTTTATTTATCTTCGTAGATAAAGTAAGTTTGCAGCATACTCATACACACTGTAAAAAAGGATTCGAGGCTTTTGCTTCCTCAACTCATTTTCATAAGTCAGTTCAACTAAAATGTTGAGTGTACTTAAGATATCAAGTTTACCTGTGCCCAACTACTTCGTTGAATCAGAGTAGTTCAGGCAACATAGATTTCTTAGTTGTATGAGCGGCCCCTGCATGAATAGTAGGGAAACCCCGCAGAGCAACGGCTTACAACGCGTGCAACCTACGAGAAACCTCCATTTTGGATCAAGAGTTCCTGAGGTAAGCTTGAACTTCTATCTTTCTTGTTTGTATGAAAATGTTTGTTAAATTAATTGTGTAAACTAGATACATATTACACAGGGTTGTCAGTGGCCACGAATTTGTCCTTTGTTTTACGAATTCGTTCCCTCTATAACGTTAGTTAAGTCTTGTCGTCGAATTAAGAATTCATTCACTTAACTTATTAATTTGTTCCCTCGTTTTATTAAATTGTGGCCACGTTATACTACGTTCCCTGAACTTCCCTCATTTTTAATAAATACGAGTGAAGGAATTATAATGCAGCACGAGGGAATTATTTTTTTAATGTGTGATCACAATTTAATTAAAACGAGGCAATGAATGAATATGTCGTAGGGAACGAATATAGAATAAAATATAGAATACGTAAGTTGTCTCGTTTAGTGCTGTTTCAAACCTTAGATATCAATAAAACATCCAACAGTAATGTTAAATTTACCTCAGAAAAGCCATAGGGTATCTTGCTAAATGTATTACATTTTTTTTTATACTTTTATCCTAGCTAACACACAACGTAACGTGACGGTTGCATACGTTAATGTATTCGTGGGCCTACTTTTTCTTTTGGTAATTTCATGCCTTGGATATAATAACTGACAACGTAACTTCGACGTGGCATGCCCGTAATTTCAGCACCATCACAAGTTATTTATGCTCTGATGATCGCAGCATTTGCTATTTAAAATGTGCAA